CGCGTAATCGCGTAACCAATCAATAATCAGTAAAACGCGAAACCACAACAGCGGATCGCTTCTGATTGGTTACGCGATACGCGGTAAATACACCTCATGGGACTCCAGCCTTACTTCTTAGGACGATATTTCATTTGTGCGTTTTTGTCGTACGACAAGCTTTTTCTGCGTGTTGATTGGCTATAGGATAGAGAGATCCGAGGACCTCTCTGTCTTGCACACATTTGTCGTACGACAAAAACGCATAAATGAAATATCGGCCTTACTCTGTGTATTGTAGACGACGCCTGACGCGCTCAGTGGAAACGTACCATAAGACTTTATATGTGCACTGGAGCGTAGTTCCTCCCGCTTCACGACAGGCGGCGTTCCGCCTGTTTCTATTTCAGGCAAATAGACTTTCCCCTCGATTGTGAACGGAATCGCTGTTCTGTGGGAATCGCCGTCAACTCGGTCAACTTGGCGAGCCGCCATTTTTACTCTGATTTACGTACTCCGAAGAAGAAGAGGAAGGATCAGGACGGATTCGACGTTTACACAACGAGAAATTACAAGAGGTGAAAAAATTAAAGGCCTTTAACATACAAAAGAATCTTATAATCAGTGAATTTTCAATACCTGCGGTCGTATAATTAAAATACTGATTACACATAGAATACAGATCTCAAATCATGCTCGCCGCATTTTGTAATCCACATGTATCCATGCAATCGTTTGTTTTAATCCAATGTATATTTTGGCAACAGACTTTAATTCTTATTATTAAACTGGAGTTGCACTTATTATTAACCTTCATCTATTAAAAAAATATAAAAAGTGATTATACTTAAGCTACTACTATACTTAAGACCTACTTTAGAGGGTAATAATATAATTGTGATATTCACATTGCTAGAAATTGTTCCAAGATCTCGTAACGGAGGAAAAGTTGATCAATGATTAATTGACCGAATTATTGTGTGTGAAATGATATTTATTAATTCTTTCCCTATCCGAGACAAAGCTTTTTTCTGTCGGGATTCAAGAAGTCTATTTACAGTTTGATATATCGTGTGTTTAAATCATTTGAATGCATGTGTATATTTCAGTATATATATTTTTTATACTTTTATATTCGGGAATGATTGTGTATCTTGAATTGAGGTAAAAATTACAAAAGTGAGCAATTCACTATTGACCAATTAAATTATGAATATTTTAGTGAATTTGCTTACTTTTCTAATTTCACCTCGTTTCGAGATTCACAATGGACCCCCTGATATCCTTCAAACGTTTCTTGTATTGTATCAGAAATCCTTGGTATTACTAACATGATGAGTTTAATTGAGTATGAAATTATGATTATATTTGTACATGCACTACCAACTGAAGGAATTTATTTTAATTTTTATTTATCAAAATAGCTTGAACATGTAAATAAATTATGCTAATATTTGTTTTGCAGACTTATGAAGTCAAGATAAATTTTTCATCCTGTTAAATAAATGGTAAGAATCATAAATATATAATCAAATATTTTAATGTACATAAATCTAAACAACAGGATGATATGTCTATATTGCTGAACAGGATAAAATTTTTAATAAAATTTCTATTATGATTATTTCTACATGCACTACCAACTGAAGTAAATAAAAAAATTCTCTTTTGAAAAATATTACTGTCAAAAACTACTAATTTACGTTTCATTTTTGCAGAATATAAAAGAACAGAGATCAGCTTATGGAGGTCTACATAGATAAGAATAGTGTAAATCTGATGATGTGATATAAGTATATGTATACACATAAATTATACAAGAAAGCATCAGAAATTAATGAGACTGATTTTCTTAAAAATTTTTTTACTTCTGTTTTTACTTAATCATGGAATTAAAAATTAAATCAAAATAGTTACAAAAATAACATATACCTTACAATTAATGAATCACTTCTATATTTTAAATATGGCAAAAGGAATGGGACAATGCATTGCAGTGCAAGGAAAATATATTCGAAAATTACTTGAAAGATTAAATAAATATTTTATTAAAAATTAAATCTGTCTCATTATTCTTTGATACACTCTTGTACATATGTAATACTTAATAACATAATATTACTGTGTTACAATCAATATACACATTGTTTGTATAATAAATATTAAAGATGTATCTGTTTATTTTTTCCTGAACAAACCTTATATGTATATAATAAGAAATAAAATATACTTTTTGTCATACAATTGAAAAAAAAAAAAATAATTAAATTGATGCTTATTAAGATATGTATTATGGAATTGAAAGTCAACAGAAATAAGTTGACTAGTAATTCATCGAATTGTAGAAGCAAATGAAGCAATAAAAGCTCATACTTAGAAAATGCACTTGATATTGCACCAGGTTTCTTTAGTATGGAATAAATCCTACTTGTCTAGATAACATTTAATAGGAGGTACATAAAGTAAATTAAAATATGCACTTGTACTACTCTCAGAAAACAGAAGAAGGTACTTTAAGGGGCTGATTCTGTTACTCTTTAACGACAGTCATTGATGTCATTGCGCAGATATTATATAGAGTAAAAAAGCGCAATAACATCAATGACTGTCGCTAAGAGTTACATAATCGGCCCCTAAATTTAGTAGGTAAGCAAAGTGAAAATGAATATTCAACAAAAGTATCAAAAATATGAATAATGCAGTGACGACAATGAAATGCACATGTAAAGGATACGGCACATTTATTATCTTTAATGGTTCTTTCATTCTGTTTTCTTTTTTTTTAAGCAATGCTTCATAAATTGACAATGTTCATTATGCACGTTAGCATTACAAAACTACGAATAATTGAGAGGACCGGTAAAATATGAAATTCTAAACGATGCGTCCAGCGTCGAATTTCTGAGTACGTACTACTTTGTTATAAATAATTTTCATATCACTGTATGCGTTAGAAAATGTGTCAGTAGATCTCTTTTTTTTGCGATAATGCGCCATACGACAAATTCAAGATTACTTGCGCCAATAGTGTGACCAAATGAAATTCACAATATGTCATCAACTGCAACGACTTTTGTTAAAAAAATTATGCTCTTTATTTGGATCTTTAACGTTATCTTTTCATGGTAAAACCACGCGTATTGTTCACAATACATTGCGTAGTGTCAGTATGTGTCAGCAATTGGTTTTCGACTCGACAATAATGAGATTACGTGGGAACACGAGTCCCCAAAAATAATACAATTCTTGTGATAGAGTTGCGTGTGTCAAGTACATAAAACTATATTAATAATATACTTTAAAAATATCATATATAATATATATATATATCTACCCATATTTACCTACAACATAATTTCCTTCATACGTATATACATACATATGCATATGTTGCGCGTTCTTTAATATCCAACATATGTATATGTATATCACAAGTATCATAAATCTTCAAGGCACTCCAGATGTATATTACATTCATATTTTACAAGTTGTGTTGTCCAGCGTTTAATGAACGGGGCATTTTGACGAGACGTAAAACAGGATTATTTTACTCGTTTTAAAAGCGACGTAGTAACGTCCTTTATGCACGTTTATACAGCAAACGAAAGAGGCGATGCAGGCATTAGAATGAGAGGTATTTTTTTTCTTTTTTTTTCTTGTATCACTCAAATGTGTAACTACTTTTATAATTTTTTTTCTCTACGTCGATGCCAAGATACTCTTATAAAGCGTTCAATTTTAAAGCGCCTTCATTAGAAGCACATCATTTTCAATGCTGCTTCCCAATTTTCTTTTGTGAAACTAGACATGTATGATTCCATTTTGCGACAAATCGTATATTAAGACCTATTTACGATAGATGGAAGCGCGTCTCGCCATGGCACGGTTTTTACACGCACAGGAAACAAATATATTATTTATATCAATAGGAAACGCAACGCAGTATTGTACAACGCTCACTAAACAAATAATTTTTGTTTTAATTTTCTTACCGATTGCGTCATCATTTGTTATACAGATAGTTAATCCCAAATCGTTATAGAAACGTGATTGCGCCCAATATATATACAATAATAAAACAACCTTGCGAAATGTTATCTTTCACAAGAAAAATTAAGATTTTTTGAAAAATAATATATTTTCTAAGATGTATGTGAGAAACGGATATCTATAAATCACAAATATTTAACATTGTTTGTTGTACACAATTGTAAGCCACGGCACGTTTTGTTGAGATATTTACATTAAACTTTTCATATAGATAGTCGAAACGCTATTTTCGATTAGCGCGGGAACGCTTTCATATATATATATATATATATATAAAAGCAAGACACGCCTTCATCTAGTACAAACGGTCGGTAGACAGTGATGCTAAACAAACACGAATATTATTTGCCAGTTATGTTATTAATGCGATCTAACCGTTCCAGTCTATAAGGTTGAAATTTCGAGTACGCAGATTCTAAGTGAACCACACGCTGTGTTTATCCAAAATAGAGACTGATATACGAAATATTGCCTACGTGTTTGCTGCCTCCATGTCTCATATAACTTTGGCTTCCCGCTTTAGTAACAGCAAGTTTCACAAGCCTTCGTATTCGTACTTAAATACAGTATGTTACAGAGAAATATCTATAAGAATGCATGTACATCACCATCGCTTACCCCTAGCAACATTTAGGATAATGTACACAAACAAGACATGTACAGGTTCATCGACTGGATAATAGTTTTGATACACTGTCGCGCAGGTTTTAAACACCAATCTCAGTCGGTTTTCTGCTGATATAATTCTTTTAACGATTTTAGTTCGTCGATTAGCGTCTGATTTCTATTCTCCAGCACCGCAACACGATTTTCTAAGCACTTTATATATTCTTTCTTCTTTCTTCTACATTCACGTGCCGCCTCTCTGTACACATTAAAAATAGAGATAAGAATATTCTTCGTTATTAAAGGGATTTAATCTTTTCTTATCTTTATATAGGATAAGAAAATTCTATTATATCTGTATAGGTAAGTACGGATATAATCTGCATGTGATAGGTCTATTCTTATCACTCACCTGTTCTTAAGCAACCTTAACTCTCTCTTTCGTGCCGCATCCTCCACTACTACTCCGTGACCTGTATAGGCTGTAACATTGCAAGAGACTGCACTCTCCAAATGTTTACGTTACGTGTATCATAATTCTCTATTTTTTACTAGATAGCTTTTTTATTTTATTTGTTAAGAATCATTGTATTTATCAAAAGGACTATAGTCTAGAAAATATATCAAATTGTACTATTAATTTATATATTATTGTAGATCTAAAAATAGTAGGTAATATTAATATATGTCGATTCATGCAATATAGATTTCTCTTTGAAAAATTATTGCGTCTATATCTATATAAACAGTATATATACTACAATAATGTATGATCACGATACAATATTGTAATATAATAGAAACAAAAAAAAACTGAAAAGCTTTCTTAGAATCTCTGATAGGAAATGATGCAAAAGCACACCTGGGACAAAAAATTGAGTGTCCTGGCCCTGTGCATACTGCACTATAGCTCCACCCGCTGTCGCCGCATTGCTCATAGTTAACGTGTGAAGCCCCGGAACTCCCTCCCCTTGGGTTGCAATTTGAATAGTACCGGCAGGAATTACTGTAAAACAAATAATTTTGGAAATGTAAATGTTCTAAAAAAAAAAAAAAAAAAAAAAAAAAAACAATCCTTCAACTAATGATAACAGTGCCGTGCATCGAAACGCACTAGAAATGATAATGCATTTGCGTTGAAAGAGACTTTAGATGCGTGATACACAATGGTATAATGTTTCTCGTACAAAAAAAAATTATTTGAGTTTTTCGGCGTCTTTTTCTTTTTCGTCGAATGATCCGAATGATGTCTATATATCGATATCCCATAAGCAAGAATGCCACACCAAGCGAGTATCGTGAAAAATGATATACAACGTTAGGCAGTACACACAGGGATGAAAGACAAATAGTAAATGCGAATGAACCTTGATTTCAAATTATTTTTTTTTCTTGTCCTTCTTTCTCATTAAGTACTCCTCTAACATCATCTCCCTCGGTATAAAGAATACAAGAACTACGTATACGGACAGCCTATGGAATGTAATACAGCCAGGAAAGATACGTAAAAGGAGATAAAGTAACCAACCTGTTTGATAATGGAGAGAATGGGAAGACACTTCACTGTCCACGTTAGAATCACACTCAGAGGATGATTCTAAGGGGGGCAAACGACCGTCTGTAACACCGAATCAACCCAAATCCCCATTAATTAGCTCGTAACCGGTGTCACTAACGTGTGTGTGTGTGTGTGTGTGTGTGTGTGTGTGTGTGTGTGTGTGTGTGTGTGTGTGTGTGTGTGTGTGTGTGTGTGCGTGTGCGTGTGCGCGTTATTTTATATACAATGTATCACTTTCGCTTTTTCTTTTTTTCTTTACCAAATTTATACCATATCCTTATTGATCACACTGAATAAATATATTCTAAATTACAATTATCTGCACCCAGAAAGTAAAATTGTAGTATAGATAAATATGAAAAAAACAATGAAATTTCATCATGTAACTACGATTTGTTAAACTATTTCCTTTCTGGCTGCTGATTATACAACATATATTTATCAATGCGCTGCGTGCAGTCAGCTCATACAAAAAGGAAATAGAAAGTAGCTGAGAAACATTTATTGAGAATAAGCTCTTAAATGTTAAACGAAAAGTCAACTAAATTTCAGATAGAAGTAACATGGAAATAACAATTAATTTTACGTGAATGACTGATTGTTTCATATATAAAATAGGAGTTTATAAAATCTTTGTGAAAACGATCTCTTATATGATTATTAATATATTTGACAACATATTTTTTCTCTTCCACGAGTTAAATTATAACAAGAACATATAGGGTGTATTAAAAGTGGAAAAGGAGTGGATTTCATGCAATAGAATTTGTTCAAAAAATTAATTCGGTAAAGATGTAAAGATTAGTGGTTACTTGCCCGTTTTTAATTTATGATAACTTTTAAGAGAACCGTAAAATTTTGTTACATACAATGTTTTTTTCATCAAATATTTTTTTTCCAACATTTATTTCTAATATGGCTGTCAATTGCACTTACCTTCTAATACATCCTGTATACATGAGGATTAATCAAATTAACGTAAACGTCGAAGCGATAATTACAACAATATTTTATGCTCCATAATATATCGCGGTGGACATGAGTACGTATTCGCCGATAAATCGTTGAAAAATTATTTTTTTCGAATGCACATAGGTGGGATTGCGTTTATCACTTAACTTTACTATTCCAAATAATTTCTTTTTCAATGTAATATTAAGGTGATGGAATCAGAAAGGAACAATCTGCGCAAACCCTCTCCCAAAATTTCTTCCTAATTTAAATAATCTCCTATGTCTCTGCTTTTAAAGTTAATTTACGTTCGCATTGCTGTATAGTATTATACGAGCTTGGTATGGCATACTTCTCTTATATACCTGATTGTATGTAAACACTGTATAGTATTGTATATAAAAACGACATCGTAATACAAGTCTCATTTCATCACGCGCTAAAACTCATTATGTCTTAAAAGAGCTTATATTACTTATTTGCGGTTGAAACCAGAAAAGCTTAAAAAGCTTCAGCGCAATAAATATTCATTATACCGTACCTGTGCTAATATATTTGAGGGACGAAATTAGATAATATATTATTAAAAAGAGAAAAAAGGACATTCACATTAATTTCAATAGTACTAAAATAAAGATGATCTTACAGTTCAATTCTTTATACAATTTCAAGATGCAAATATGCAAATTACTACAGATTTTGTAGTCTTCGACTCGTATGAACTGACATGCACGTGAACGTTTTATGTGATTAAGAGCGAGTGCAAATATTTATCTTTAACATTTATTTCATTCGCAGCGAAATGTTAAATAAAATTACGCGAATGGTTTTAATTCAGAATCGCGGAAACCAGCGACTATATGATTAATATTCTCTATATCGCGACCTAAATTTCTATTGCACAATAGAATGTTTAGCACATTTAGAGACAAGCTTTACTATTTAAGTATAAACGTCATATCTTACCTGTAATTTCTCCTCCGCCTAAATCGTTGAGAATTTTTCTGTAAGACGGCCGTCTGGTTAGAATATTCCTCTTCTTGGGTGAATCCTCGTCTGAGAAACTATCGTCACTACCAGTTTCCACCACCTTAATAAATAGTATTCAAATTTCAATGATATATTAATAACTGCGTCACACATTTGCGCGTACTGATAACAATGCAAACATCTGGACGATCTTTAGGCTGAGGCGTTATAAAAAGTTAATACATATGACTCACTTGAAGCGTCTGTAAACTGCCTTGTGCAGTTTGTATAACGGAGTTGGGTTTGCTAACCAGAATAACGTTTCCTTTGGAGATTGCGACGGGTTGTATGTTTGTGGCGGTCTGTATCACGGACTGTTGATTGGGTTGTATGACCGATTGCACCTGTGCAAGAATTAAACAAAGAGTTAGATATTATGAACAGTCAAGACAATTATATCATTAAAACTAATTGTAGACACATGATCATTATTCCTTGTACATACAAAATAGGTGATATTTACTGCATCAACCAATAACCATTGTAATAATTAACTATTAAAGGAATAATGTACATGTCGTTTGTGTGTTACGAGAAAGGTGGGAACTTATTCATGGAACTTGAAACATATATCCAAAATTTATGCCCAATGTATACCTTCGACAATGTTACATTCACAGAAAGTATTCCCAACGTCCTACAATCTAAGGATGAGTGATCTTGGGAAGGCCTTTGCGTTCCCAAGACGCAACCAGCATTATGCAAGACCGGATGTCTAAATCGCACTTGCATTACAGAGAAACAATAACGACAGTAAAAGGACAAATGAACGGTATGCGCATGCTCCGAAATAAAGAGAAGACAAATTATCGGACATAGATACACAGGAGAGCCTCCTGTATACCTGTGTTGTTCCTGACGAGGGTAGCGTCAGTTGCACAATGCTGGTAGAAGCTACCAGATGATGAGTTTGCTGCTGATGCGTTCTATCGATAGATTGTACCGAGGTTGCGATTGCTGGTGCTGCGTCGCTCTGGGAGCCCTGCACAGACAACGGATCGACGGTTGATCCATTTTCCTCGACCATACTTTCCATAGCCCGACTACCTCGCGAGCTCTGCAATAAAAAGAAACACTGTATATAATACAAATATTTAGAATATGTTCAAGAAGGAAGAACACACACAATGTCATATCTCATCAAAAATACAATAATTACATTGGTTCACATTTGAACGACACAAATGACACAACAAAACCTTTGAATTGGAGGAGCTTTCGATTAGCGGAACGCGAGTCATTTAAACTTCCCGCCAACAAATGAAATGACTGCTACTGCGTCATTTACATAAGCGGAGCTAAAAATAAGACTGAGAGGGAAGGGGGAGGGGACAATAAACACGCGCTCGAGGTACTGTTTCTTTCTATCTCTCTCCCACTCGACAGGAAACGACGAAGAGAATTGCCACCCGGATAAACTGCAAGGGTAACCCTCGTTCCCGCACATACCTAGGAAATGCTCGCGCGTAATCCGCGATGGTACCCCTCCCCCAGATGACGGATGTCAGGATCAGGGCGAAAAGGAGCAGAATCGCGCGACCCACCTCGTGTCGACCGTCCGGAGCGGACACGAATGCGCGCGATCTCGGTCTCTCTCTCTCCGGGCCGTCGGGTCGCCATATTTCGCGGCATCACGTTAAGCGTAGCAGACGAGCGTAAAACGCGCGTATGCGTCGCGCGGCCACGAGCTAACGCGGAAAAGAGCGAAACGCAATGCAAGCAACGGCGGACGCGCGATCGTTTCTCCGTCTCGCACGCGCGATCGTCGCGGTGCGCGAGGAGCCGCGCGCTTGGTCCACGGCCCGATTGTTATTATTCTCCAGCTGGGGCACTTACCAGTTACGTATTTCTCGTCACCAAGTTTGCTGCAATCGGAGTGGGCAGTCGGGCAGGTACGTAGCAGCCACGTCAAAACTCCAGTGGCTTCGTCACTGGTGGAGCCCACGACCTCTGAGTTGCGCGTCACGCTCAAGATGGCAGTCGTCGTCGTGATAGCTGCTGCCGCCGCCGCTGTTGCTGCCGTTTCGTGACTTTCGTGATGCTGCTAATGCTGCTGCCAGTGCCGTTGATGTTGTCGTTGCTGCTGACGATTCCCCCTCGACCGCCGCCCTCTGACCCCTCATAATCTGATCTCGTCTATGTTCTAGGCGCGTCATGCAGTCATGCATGCGATCCAGTACGATCGCAGTATCGCGGCTTCAATCCTCAACAACGGCGATTCCCGCGATTTTTTCTGTCGCACTCTATTCAACTCTATTGTACTCTCTCTCTCTCTCTCTCTCTCTCTCTCTCTCTCTCTCTCTCTCTCTCTCAGCTCTCTCTCTCTCTGCTCTATTCGTAGCACGTTTTGCTCTTTATTTCCTCTTATTTTATCAGAAAAAATATATAATTGTGATATTCATGATATCTAGAAATGTATATATATATGTACACAAAATAAAAAAGTAATTACAACTGCATTATAAATTATTAAGTATAGACTCCAATATTGGAAACAATATCGGAACATCGGAAAATGGCCGATAATGGCGCTTTATATGATCGCGTCTCGTTCAAACTTCATATGCAGAACGATAAAACGGATTGTGTATCTGCACACAGAGAAAAAAATGTACTAAATTTTAATAAATATTTGTTTAAATAGTGTCAATCGAATATTTACTGAATGTAAGTATATTTATTTGATACAAAAATCACATTATTAATTTAATTATATTTTTTTATTTGGCAAATATATTTATTTTCAGCAAATAAATGCTATATTATATTAATATTGTTTAAACAATGAATTATTAAAATTTAGTACTTATTTTTAAAATTTTTAGAGGTAGTTTAAAATTACAAAATATAAATAATAGGGAGCATACAGCCATAGCGCAAGATGTTTTAAGTAAAAGTCATATATTTACCCGGTAAAAAATTTTTCATGCATAAATATGTATAAATATACATAAACACGCATAAATATTCATAAACATGTATAATTATATATGAAATATGTCCATACATGTTCATACATCCTTCTTTCTTTTGTAAAATTACTTTTTATTGTAATAGAAATAATAATAGTAAAGTGAAAACATAAAAAACTTGCGTCACAAAATACGTGAATCTAAAAATTACGTATTTAACTCACGAAGCCGCACATAGTTTCAATTTATAAGGAAATTCAATATTATATAAAAGCAATATCAGAATTGAAATTTGTTAAAGAAGCTTTTGCAATCTTTTGGCATTTTAATTTTTGAACTTATAATTTCTTTAACTCGGTTTTATAAAGCGAATGTAAATTTATTATCATCATATTTGGACTTGCGTTTTATTGTCAATATTCATTTAATTTTATGTAACACCTTTTTATTTATTTATTATTTTTATTGTACTGATGATGGTCAAATCTTGACCGAAACGTTTACTTATTCATTATTATAATTTTAAATATATGACTTTCATTTAAAATATCTTGGGCTGTGGCTATATGCTCCCTATTATTTATATTAGTACTTTTTCCTTTCATTGCAAATTTGTTACTGAACTTTTTTTTACTTTTCTCTAACGTTTATTTAATTATACATGTATTCAATTTTAAATACCTACAAAGAACAGTTGTTTAATTATGAGATTTTTAGACTATCGGATGTCGGTAACAACTGATGGATCAATCTCTAAAAATCAAGTTCTTAGGTCCGTTTCCACCAACGCAGATCAACTTTAATCTCGGTTCAACTTACTCTTTGTCTTTTTCTAGTTCTAAAGATTAGAAAAAGACGAAGAGTAAGTTGAACCGAGATTAAAGTTAATCTATATTGGTGGAAATGGGCATTAGTATTCTAGATTAATTTTAATCTCGGTTCAACTTATTCTTCTGCTTTTTCTAATTTTTGTATCTATTTCCATCAATAAATTTACTTTAATCTTGATTTAACTTAATTTTCATATTTTAATGTTCTACTTTTCTAGTTTGAGAATTAAAAAAGGATAAAGAATAAATTAGAGTAAATTAAAGTTAAGGATCGTGGTCGCAACCTGTATAAATAATTGACCAATTACTGTCGAATGAGAGAGGAGTCATTGACTATATGATTCGTCAATTCTCTCACAGATTACGGTCAGTATAAACAATCCTTTAATTTACATTGGTAGAAATAGAGCTTAGAAAAAATAAAGAAAGAATAATAAGTGAACTGAAATTAAATACATTAATCTACATTTATAGAAAGCCATTAATCGATAACTCATATTCGAATTATATGTATAAGTAATGTTTTTTATTTTTTTCTTCTGCCGATAAACGATAAACGATATCCGATAAGCGATATATTACAATGCAAAGAAAGAAAAAAATTTATCCAAGTCTGATTAAAGCTTTTTTTTTCTTTCTAAAGCAGGACGTAATGATGTTCAAAACAGTTCGAAAGGCGCGCGCAATCTACATTCGTTGCACTTTATGGACGAAACTGCTTCAATTTTGGCGGGATTTTCCCTGGTTGATGAACAACGGCAGTCTTCGTCTGTACTTTTTAGCAGTTCTTATTGCACTGTTTATCCTACCTCCTTTTCTCTCCAACGGGGAGAGAAAAAGAGGAAAGATAAACAGTTCGAGAAGTTTAGTTGAAAAGAACACGTCCTCCATTTCTTAGAACAAAGAGGTACAGTGTTTACCGGGGCGGTTCGTATTTCGTAGTATCAGTAAAAGAGAGTAGTGGAAGTCGCTAACCGAAAGTTTGTGATCTAAAAGGCAGAAAATCGCTATTCGGAACTATAAAAAAGTATCTCTAACAAGATTCGTCTACCTGGTCTATTGTTAAAAAGTAAAACTAAAAAACATGGAACGATTGAGTCACGTTAAATTTATGGATATTGCTTTTATCGGAATATTGTTCTGTACGGGAGTCGTAAAAACAACAGGTCAAGATGGGATAACACCAATGATATTTTCATTGGACGAGACATTCGGTATATATATACATTAATTAAAATTTGTTTAATCAAATTTTACTGTATTTAACGTGAAATCTTGTTTATTCAGATATGTATATAAATTCACGTAGAAATATTTAAACACTAATTGCTTTGGATCTGCAAAAAATAAAATTTCTCTTATTTATTTTCATAATTGGTTTATTTAAAAATTTATAAATTATGCAAAAATTCCTCGTTAATGATTATAAAAATGTATAAAAATATTTTCTAAAGTATTTATAAAATTTATAGCACAAAGGCTAGGTGAATATATTATGAACAAGTTTCGTAATGATTGCGAATGCATTGAATATAATTGTGGATGCTGTCAGCATTTACAATTGGGTGTAGTCTCTATAGTCGGAAAGTGTAAGTACATAATTATTTGTAGTCTATATTATAACAATAATTTAATATTGTTATATTCTATTTTGATGCTATATTTCTATATATTATAGTATGCGTAAATGCAAGTTATTTAGAAAAGGATTATGGGTTTTCACTCACAATAACCTACAATAACTTTGCAATTATTAGCAAGACAATTTCAGGTAATACCTAATTGCACAAATTAAAATATACATTGCTGTATTTCAAAATAATCGAATATATATTTTTAGCTCGAAACCCGGCTATTTGTTTAGCAGAGGACATTTTAAGTAAAGTAGATGTTGAAGTTTGCCTGCATATACGTGATATGAACATTGACAATGATAAGCTTCACGTTTGCTTCGAGATTTATGGAGAAATAACGAAATTCCCAATCACTAAAATAAAATTGGGTTGTATCCAAACTAAACTACGTGACAAGAAGGAGTATTTAATTTTCAAGGTAAACGTAATCGTTCAATTACGTTAACTTTAAGCAAAAATACGTTAATTTAAAATAATTAAAATACACGAGACCAGCGAATACTCAGACAATTTAAGAACGAATACCGATTAATGTTAAGAAATGTAAATTTTGGGCAATGTTTATATTGAATTTCTTTTGTCAGAATCCATCAAAAAAAACACCATGTATACTTCTTTCATTTTTATACCGCATTGATATAATGTTTAAGTTTTATTTTTATCCATTGTAATAATGTAAAACAGATCTTTTATTTTGTATTTTATTCAGGATTACCACGGACAGGGAAAAGTCAGGGAAATTGAAATTGGTCATAGAAATGGAGAAAAATCAGAGGAAAATGTAAAAACGTCTGGAATTTCGAAATTAGATCATAATTCCCTGAAACTGCTCCTATTCCAAATAATTATTATAATTTTTTATATTTGACGTTTATAGTCAAATACTTGTTTAAAACTTGTGCATTATAAACGATTTTGATAAAATAATTAAAATTTATATTTTATTCACTATTTTTATTTAATCTTTTTTTTCGTCATTAACTGCATTCTTTTTTCCAAAACTAATTTATTTTTTGCTGTGGCATGTATTTGCACCCAAAATTATACTATGCTACTAAGCTTTTTTGCGTTGTTTTTAGTAATATAACCGAGTAGCTTTCCTACAACCCTTGAATCTGAATGTTAAAATTTACATATTTTATATTATCATTTTATATTATCATTAAATTTACATATATTATATTATAAAATATTACATATTTTATTTAATATATATATTTTATATTTACTATTATAGTAAAGTGAAAACATAAAAAATAATTAAAGGGATAATTTTTGCATTGTTTGTTTTAGAAAAAAACAAGTTTGGGAAAATGTAAAAAAATTACTTACGTATAATTATATATAAAATTATGCATAATTATATATGAGCAATTTTTTTGTCCAAATATGATAGTAACAAATTTACATTCGCTTATGAAACCGAGTTGAAGAAATTATAAGTCCAAAAATTAAGATGCCAAAGATTGCAAACACTTCTTTAACAAATTTCAATTCTGGTATAATTTCCTCATAAATTAGAACTATGTGCGGCTTCGTGAGTTAAATACGTAATTTTTAGATTCACGTATTTTGTGACGCAAGTCCTCGTAGGTGTAGTTCTAAGTTTCTATCGTCAATTTACAACATTTACTTTGTAGAATGTATTTAAAATTGAATACATGTATAATTAAATAAACGTTAGAGAAAGTAAAAAAAAGTTCAGTAACCAAATTTGCAATGAAAGGAAAAAGTACTAATATAAATAATAGGAAGCATATATAGCCACAGCACAAGATGTTTTAAGTGAAAGCCATATATTTAAAATTATAATAATAAGTAGACGGTAGATGAACGGCAGCCTTCGATTGGTCTGTTCTTTTTAGCAGTTCTTATTGCACTATTTATCCTACATCCTTTTCTCTCCAACGGGGAGAGAAAAAGAGGAAAGGTAAACGGTTCGAGAAGTTTAGTTGAAAAGAACACATCCTCCATTTCTTAGAACAAAGAGGTACAGTGTTTACCGCTGCGGTTCGTATTTCGTAGCATCAGTAAAAGAAAGTAGTGGAAGTCGCTAACCGAAAGTTTGTGATCTAGAAGGCAGAAGATCGCTATTCGGAACTACGAAAAAGTATCTCTAACAAGATTCGACGTCTGCCTGGTCTATTGTTAAAAAATAAAGCTAAAAAAACATGGAACGATTGCATCACGTTAAATTTATGGATATTGTTTTTATTGGAATATTGTTCTGTACGGGAGTCGTAAAAGCAACAGGTCAAGATGAGATAACACCAATAATATTTCCATTGGACGAGACACACAGTATATATATATATATATAAAATATATCTATACATTTCAATATCTTGGAATATTTTTAATTATACATTAATTAAAATTTGTTTAATCAAATTTTACTGTATTTAACGTGAAATCTTGTGTATTCAGATATGTATATAAATTCACGTAGAAATATTTAAACACTAAATGCTTTGGATCTGCAAAAAATAAAATTTCTCTTATTTATTTTCATAATTGGTTTATTTAAAAATTTATAAATTATGCAAAAATTCCTCGTTAATGATTATAAAAATGTATAAAAATATTTTCTAAAGTATTTATAAAATTTATAGCACAAAGGCTAGGTGAATATATTATGAACAAGTTTCGTAATGATTGCGAATGCATTGAATATAATTGTGAATGCTGTCAGCATTTACAGTGGGATGTAATCTCTGTGCACGGAAAGTGTAAGTACATAATTATTTGTAGTCTATATTATAACAATAATTTAATATTGTTATATTCTATTTTGATGCTATATTTCTATATATTATAGTATGCGTAAATGCAAGTTATTTAGAAAAGGGTTATGGGTTTTCACTCACAATAACCTACAACAACTTTGCAATTATTAGCAAGACAATTTCAGGTAATATCTAATTGCACAAATTAAAATATACATTGCTATATTTCAATAAATAGAATATATATTTTTAGTTGGAAACCCGCCACCTATTTGCCTTGGAGAGGACATTTCAAGTGAAGTAGATGTTGATGTTTGCTTGCGTTTATATAATATATACATTAACAATAATAAGTTTCTCGTTTGCTTCGAGATTTATGGAGAAAGAATGAAACTCCTAATCACTAAAATAAAATTGGGTTGTATCGATCAGACTAAACAACGTGATAAGATAAAGTATACCGAGAACAATTCTTCAAAATTGTTTCTTAAAAAGATGAAAAATGATGAACTACCCATTGTGAATAAGGTATGAATAACATATCGAACACAGAATCTCTATATAAGAACATAGAATCTCGATATTGCTGTAGATCGGGATATTTTCTTCAATTACGTTATGATAAGTTGTTAATAACAAATGTTCTTCACACCTTCCATAATTTTAAGTTGTATATTTTTATTTCTTGGATTTAAATTTTCAAGGTAAACGTAATCGTTCAATTACGTTAACTTTAAGCAAATATATGTTAATTTAAAATAATTAAAATACACTGTACCAGCGAATACTCAAAAAATTTAAGAACGAATACCGATTAATGTTAAGAAATGTAAATTTTGGGCAATGTTTATATTGAATTTCTTTTGTCAGAATCCATCAAAAAAAACACCATGTATACTTCTTTCATTTTTATACCGCATTGATATAATGTTTAAGTTTTATTTTTATCCATTGTAATAATGTAAAACAGATCTTTTATTTTGTATTTTATTCAGGATTACCACGGACCGGGAATAGTCAAGGAAATTGAAATTTGTCATAGAAACCGAGAAAAATCAGAGGAAGATGTAAAAACGTCTGGAATTTCGAAATTTGCTCATAATTCCCTGAAACTGCTCCTATTCCAAATAATTATTATAATTTTTTATATTTGACGTTTATAGTCAAATACTTGTTTAAAACTTGTGCATTATAAACGATTTTGATAAAATAATTAAAATTTATATTTTATTCAGTATTTTTATTTTATCTTTTTTCTTCGTCATAACTGCATTCTTTTTTCCAAAACTAATTTATTTTTTGCTGTGGCTTGCATTTGCACCCAAAATTATACTATGCTACTAAGCTTTTTTGCGTTGTTTTTAATAATATAACCTAGTAGCTTTCCTACAACCCTTGAGTCTAAATGTTAAAATTTACATATTTTATATTACTCGTGGAAAACTTTCTATTTTGTTCTGGAAAACCTGAAAAAATCTGGGAATTTTAAATTCATTTTCTGTGACAATCCCGTTTATTGTAAAGATTGAATCACACGATGCTCGATTTCTTGAATGCTAGCATGCATACAGTCATGCCTGCTCTAATGTATGCTAGAATTCGTTCATGTATTGAACGCTGCATGCTGCATATACATTATTTTTATATTTATTATGGATTACTTCATAGCTTATTTTATTTCCTTGCATGCATCAATCAAAAGAAATAATTGCTAATTTCATAGTTATTTGTTAAACGTCAGCCTGTATACATCAAAGCAAGCATAGCAGCATGCATATGTGCATGCATGCGTGCGTGCATATATGCTTATCATTCAAGAAATCGAGCATCGTGTGATTCCATCTTAACATTACATTGTATTTTTGTAATCTTGTAGGTCTGTATAGATATTAAATAAATAAATATATATATATATAATTTGTTATAATTATTTTGCATGGTATTATAGGTATACTCTTTAATTCAACATTGCTATCAATAATCTTTTCCACTCGGCGGTGCAATCGTTCTGGAAAAGAAAACAGATATTTTTTCGTATTATCAGTAAAACGAGCTGAGAATTGCAAATATATATGTTTATTAGAGATAAATGTATGCATTACATTTACATGCTTTTGGATTATTGACAATTGTGTTAAATATCTGACTGCGGGTTCTTTTAGTAACGAAAATAATTCTCTCCTCGAGCTCATTAATTCAATAGCGCGATCAGAAGCCGTTTAAAGTCGTCGCCGCAGTCATTCTGTAAATGTAAAAAAGAATGCAGGAAAATTAAAGCTAAACATAGATTTAAGGCAAATCGTGATGTTCATGTATTTATAATAATACATACAACCAATATACAGAGGCATGCATGCAGTCAAAAATAGCATGGACTAATTAATGGAATTAGTATAGTGAAAGACAAATTTGCGTTTAAATTAATAATTATAATTTGCTAATATACAATAACCAATCAATAGATCGATTTTCAATCGATCTTCACAGAGACTCGTGTACAGTTTTGATGTACAGATTTTCTATATTATTTTGTAACTCATTTTACACACGTATTGTAGCATCACTCCGATTAAATGCAAAACATCTATAACTTGAGTAAAAACCATGTTCACCATTAACAGCCAACGAAACGTAAGAAACTAAATTAATCAAAATCTTTGCAGAATGATATAATCTCCGCGACATTGAAGTGTATAATTTTTAACAAAAGGGTCTGTTGTACGATTGAAATATTTTCATCCGACAAGGGCAAGCAAGAGTCTCTTGTAGTCGCCTGAACAGTCGTCCTGAAATTTATGGAAAGTTATATGGAATGCTAAGAGGTATAGCGTATATGTGAGTTAACAGATTATTATATTATGGTTGATTATTTTATTGTTTAGTGACTGCCGATGCATATAAGTATATAAATGTGAAGGAATTATATGAATGTGTAATTTAACATTTCGATTGGAGATAAAGCATTGCTGTATTAAGTGAATGAAAGCTTAGAATTGAAGCACTGGATTTAAATTGGATTTCGATCAAATCTGTGTGAATCAAGGAAAGAAATTAACTTTGTATTTATTGAAGAATTTGTCATTAAAAATATTCTGTTCAAATGTTCTACTATTATTAATATTATTTATTATTAATATTATTTTTATTTGTATTGCAATATATTGTATTATTGCGTTCCTTTATCTCTTATTAATTTTACTGCTACAGAAATAAAATACAATAAAGAAAGCAAACGTAATGGGTACAATAAATAGCGTAAAACTGTTTCTGAAATTAATGTGTTATACTTACATCGATAGCTTCCGCAAGAGATTTTCCGTAAAGTCTCTCATAGGCATCCTTAATATCGCCCAGATCAATCTCTGATCGTGTCACAATGATGCGTATCAATGTTGAATCGTTCGTGCCCATTCCGCGCATAGCTTTGTACAATCTTTCCGCGAAATAAGCAGTCTTATCGGAGGCGCATTTCACTGAAAGAAGATCATTTTAGAACAATGAAAAAAAAATATATATACATATATGAAAAAAAAAGAATAATAAATAGATTAACAATAGTAACGAATAACTTATTAAATAAATAATAAATAAATTGTTGTATTTAATTTCTTACCCACAGCTAAGTAGCCGTCTTCGACAGAACCAGAGAATTCTCGCTTGATAGCATGCTTCAAGGTGTCTCCGGTGAGGTGCTCGTATTCTTTGAAGATCCGTCGCAATTGTGGAAAACTCTTAGTAATGAGAATTGCGTTGAAAGTGCTTTCGTCGGTGCCCCACTGTCCCTCACCCGCGGCTTGAAGCCTCTCAGCATCCTGACGTGCGGCCTCCTCATCGACGTCTGGACTCTCGTCTCTACTGGCCTGATCGTTAATCAGAGAATAGAGAAAAACTGACAGAACAGTTGCGAGAAATTGTACATCAATTTTCAATTATTACTCACGCAAGACAATGATACCAAAAGCCTTTTGAAATAACCAGAGGTATCGCTTTTGAGGTCGTCTTCCAGCTCTTTGTCATACACTAGACAGATAAATTGAAAATATATTCGTTACTTATAAACTGTATGATATAGAATTGAGCAAAACTACACTGAAAAAAAAAACTAAATTTTAATAAATATTTGTTTGAATAGTTCTGAGTAAATATTTACTAAATACTAAATGTAAACAGATATCCATTTGATTAAAAACCCATTTGATTTTTTTTAAGTAAATCTTTATTTACTATAAATAAATGACTTGTTAGTAACATTTAAAGAAATATGTATCAAGATTTAGTAAATATTTTTCAGTATAGGAAGTGAAAAGTATACTTTTTTTAATGAAATTCCTCTTCTATACAGGATGGAATAAGGCGATACTGACTTGTAGGAGGCAAAATCGATTCCGAAAAATACGCTGCGTTGAAACTTACGGTCCTTGTAAACAGCCGATATCGTCTTGATACCGTAATTGCTCAGGGATGCGAGGACTTCGATGAGTGCACCCTCGTCAGTACCCATGCCGGAAATAGCATCATGCAACTCCTTGGCGTAATACTCAGGAAGCGGCGTCATTAGAGCCAGGATGGCTTTCTCAAAGTTTCCGGACAACTCTGACTTCAACTCGGAAATGAGATCCTTGCCGTACATTGTCTTAAATTTGTCGGCAATTTCTAGTCGCTGTACGATACCGCGATGAGCCAAGACGTCCAATATGGCCTGCTCATCAGTTCCGAAACCCTTCATCGCAGACCGTAATAGGCTAGCATCTGCTTCGGCATCGAAAGGATCAGCCGGGTACACGGAGGGTGTGCACTAGAAACATATTTAATTTTGCATCATTCTATTATCTTGTTCGAAACGATTATCTACAGATCTCAATGAATGAAATTGAACGTGCATCAAGTTTATTAATTATATTAAAATTTTAATTAGTACATTAGAGTTAGATAATTTAATTTATTAAATTATATATATATATTCAATTGATGCGACTTGCTTTTTCTATTAAGTAATTATATCATAAATAAGTGAAAAAAAACTGATATTCTTCAAAAATAAAAGCGTAACAGAATTTAAGCTCGTGATGAAGCAATTCTACTTTGATTTTATTGAAAGTTTATTTTCAACTTTATTTAATAAATATAACAAACTTCCTGCACTAATTTAATAATGTAAGAGAATTTTTTTTAATCTCGCTTTTAAATTTTATATTTGCGCTTCTTTTAAATTCTATGTATTTATGCTAATTTTAGATCGAGAAGAGCAGTGTTCGTTTTAACATTAACATATCTATGACTAACATTAACATGTATATGACTGATTCATTCTTACTAAGATTTAAACTTAATTTTTTTTGTCAGATAATATCAATTTTTTGTGTTGTTAGCAATAATTTAATTAAACGGCATCCTTTGTCTTTCTGAGTTTAAAAATATGCTGCAAAAATTATAAGAATTGTCTATTTATAATAGATGGATAAGAAACTAAAACAGCATAAAAACGAGATGATTCATCTTGCTCAGTCATTATTGCGAGACTTTTATTGCGAAGTTATGAGATATTAACATATGAATTACCTGTATATGATAATACTGACTAGCTGCCATCTTGCTGATTATCTGAAAGCATTTTTTATACATATTTAAATAAAAAATTAATAACTTAGGATTGTTAAAAAATCTTTGATTATCACTATTATTTTAAGGAGCAAATACTTTGTTATTTTATTTTACATTACATGAATGATAATTTTCTCTTTTCTCTCTCAGTCTTAGATCTAATTTTTAAATATTAGATTATTATTTATTATAATGCTAATATTAATCTTAGAATTCTAGAAAATGCAGACGATTTATATTTTTTTGTGGTTTAACTAAAATCCTTTGCGTCATATTGTTATAATTGTGGCGCGCCTTTAATATAAAACTCATAATTGTCATTAAGTTAAAAGTGACGATCTGCGATGATAATTCTCATCTACACTATTCTCATCTGTCACGAATAATGCGTGCAAACACGCGATTTGACTACACGGTGCTTATGTCCTTGACTCATTTCAGATACGCCTCACGTTTGCGACGATGATCTCATCGAGTAAAACCCTGTATACATTTGTCTGTTGCTAGATGATTATTGAGAATCTGTTGTATCACTTCGCATGATTTAGATTTTAGATGACGAAGAGGAGGATACGGTTTGCAGGATACCGCAAGATCATATCGATTGGATCAGCGAAGTGACACTCGGGGTGTGGCTTGGTTTACCTCCTTCGACAGCGATGTGCTTTCCTGGAGAACGGTATCGGTTCTGGTGGCCGACTAACTAACGGCTCGCAACCAGCGTTCTCGTCACCGAGAGCCTCTTTCGTCGAGGACGGCAGAGAGAGAAGAGGAAAGGAATTTGTTGGTGGGGCGAATACGCGTTTGTCTGTCGACCGCGAAAGCATTAAACGATGGTTCGGTATTCTTGCCGGCGGATGAAACTCGGAATTGCATGACACAACGCGGAACAGACCGATACCGGTACCGGTCTCTCACGTGGTCTTCAAATGCGAAACGCCGCCACGAAATAGTTTCTAATTATCCAAGTTATCGAGCCGTGAATATTAATATTCGTGCTTCTCTTATCCTTGGTATTGAATAATGATCCGTATAATAAATTAAATTGTTATAGCGGCAATAATAATAATGTTAAATTAACGAAATTATTTCAACTTGAATTTTATTTACTTGCTGTTTTTTTAGTTTTGTTAACATTAATCGCAATAACTATTGATTTTTACCTTCAAGAACTTATGTCCTTGAAAGTAATATTTGCCAAGCCATCGCTTTCGAAGCAATACGGTGCCAGGAAACAGATCTAATGCAAGAAGGATGAAATCGATACCGATTGATCGGGTCATTATTGACTAGTTT